TAATTTTGCCTGTTGGCCTGCAAAACCTGAAATATTTACTATCTGACACTTTGCAAAAAATATTGCTAATCCTTGGCTTAAAACAAAATGAACCAGCCTGCCTCAGCCCAGTGCTTGCCAGAATAATCAGGGTTTACCAGGCACTATGCTAAGCCCCTCATATTTATTAGCTTGTTGAATTTTCACAGACACTCTCATTATTGCCATTTTCTAGATAAGAAACCTAGCTCAGAGAGGTTAAGATGTTTCACTGAGGTCACACAGCTTTTAGTATTAGTTGGTTCCCAAGCCTCACTTTGTTTTGGTGGTGAAAACTGCTCAAGATACTAGAGAGTTTATCAGGCATGATGTACCTTTAAAGCACTAGTCATCCTGTTATAAAAAGATACATGCATAAACATTAAAAAAAAAAAAGTACATTGGTGGTCCCTCCCTGGTGGCGCAGCGGGTTAAAGCACAGCACTGAGAAGCTAAAGCCACTTCCGCATGAGTTCGGTTCCTGCCTGCCCCGGAGGAGACCACATGGTGTGGCAGACCTCTCCTGACCCGCCCGCTGCTCCCCTCAGCAGTGTACTTCGTTGATCTGCCTGTTCTGCTCCCCACTCTGTCTCTGGTGAAGCCTCTCGCCGCCCCTGCACCTCTGGCCTGTACCCCAGTTCTGTATGCATAAATAAATAAATCTTAAAAAAAAAAAAAAGTACATGGTTATATAAGATGTACATGGTTAGGTATTAGTAATTTATAGAAATAATAACAGTAGCAATACAAGTAATTTCAGTTAGAATAAGAACAGATATCATTTATGAGATAGTTATTGTGTTGCAGCCTCTTTCTAAATCCTTTCCTTATACTGACTTATTTAATCTTCATGCCAACTTAGGAAGTCGTAGTGATCTCCCTAAGGTCACACAGCTGGAGGTGAGGGAATTGGGGTTTGAATCCAGCAGACACTCTTCACCAGTCCTTGAAGTGATGGAGAAGTGAGGTGCTGGCAAGGATAGTGGGTCGGTTCCTGTTTTCAGCACCAGGAATGTTTCCTACTCCATCCTACTATTCCAGATGTTAAGTGGTTTCCTTGAAGAAAGAATCCCATCTGAGTCAGTGTATTCTCCTTAAAGTTTTGATGATGGTTTCATTACTTCACCCGAGTCTTCCCTTTCTCTAACCCTGAAATTAAAGAATTGGACTAAATTGGTGGCTTTCAACATGTCTCTGGGTTTCCACCCCAGCCGTAACCATAGTTGATGGAGGTTTTAGCTGTGTGAGTTAGTTTCCTGTGTAAGATTTTGTTTGAAGAAAAGGGCCTTTGGCTTGTGAAGTTGCTCACCTAGGGGGACCCTTCCACCTCAGAGCTCTCAAACACAACAGCAGTGACGGCATTGGGATATTAGCCATGAAGCCGCCTTTCCTGTCCCCTCAACAGGCCCACCCACCAGACCACCAGTCTGATTGCACCTTCTAATCAATTAAATCCAGGATTTGCCTTCAGCCCTTGCATTGGTTGGGGATAGGGAAGCCCTGCTGCATATATAGTGTTGGTCAGCCTGAAATGTCCATCAGGCCCTTTCAGATTCGTGAGCCCACACACAAAATCACTTTTAGCATCCTCATCCTGTTGAAAGTGTTTCCATTGACATCTGTTCACCTCAGGCTGTGACACAGGTGTTCCTGCTTTTTCTTTTCAAGTGCTTTAAAGCCAAAGCCTCTTCCTAAAGTGTGAAATTTAGATGTGAACTTTGCTGTCACGGTCTTGCAGGGGATGGCTTGTCTCTTCCAGTATGCAAACACCATGCTTAACTGCAATCCTAATATTGGATCGGGCCCCCAGAGGAAAACTCCAAGGATTTTCTGGACATTCTGTCTGGAACCCATGATCCCAAGACAGGTGGGTGTGCTGTGGTGTGACACCAAATGCACCTACAGGATGAGATGGAATTGAAAGTGATTTTGTGTCTTGTGGAGCCAAGTCTAATACAGCCTATTGCTTGGGTTCTTCTGTATTAACTATTTACATAGCCTGAAAGCACAGAGGCAGCAAAGGCCAACATAATTCCTCCTTCCAGCCAAACCAGTCCAGTGAAGCACACTTAAAGATGTCTCCATCCCTTGAGCCCCCTGGTGATTCAGAGGTTAAAGTCTAAGCTCTATCAAGCTGTCACCAGCCACTGTGGCAAGATTTCAATCTCCAGCCAGGGAGTGAATCCAACATGACCTAGCAGAGCGCTCCTGTCTCCTCCATTGCTCCCCTCAGCAGAGTATTTCAGTAGATCTGCTCTTGTGCTCCCCACTCTATCACTGTCTCCCCACTCTGTGCTCTTTCACTTCCTGCACCTCTGGCCTACACCCAATTCTTGTATGCATACGTAAATAAAAATAAATATTAAAAAGATGGTCCCCACCCCTGGAGCTCTCCCTGGTGGCGCAACAGGTTAAAGCACCACATTATGAAGCTCTCTGAAGCCACTGCAGCGCAAGTTCAATCCCCGTCAAGGGAGCTGACCCACATGGCATTGCAGACCTCTTGTGACCAGCCTGCTGCACCCCTCAGCAGTGTACTTTGTCAGTCTGCCTGTTCTGCTCCCCACTCTGTCTCTGGTGAATCACTCACTGTACATCTGGTCTGGACCCCAGTTCTGTAAGCATAAATAAATAAATCTTTTAAAAAAAAAATGGTTGCCATCCCTTGGCTGACGATAATCATATTTGAATTGAAGCCCACTTGTTGGGGATGTGGGGGGAGAGGAAATTCCATATTTCCAGCTTTTTGTCCAACCGAAACTGCTTTTGTCATTTTGATTGGAAGACGACTTTTGCATTCACTAGTTAACATTTAACTTTTCCTTTAAAAAATGAATTAAAAACCTATATGAGAGTCAGTCAGTGTTTCTTAGACAGTGAAGACTGACTGCTACTACTTCACTATTCACCAATGACCTTGGGTTTAGTTATTAACTCTATTAAATTTGATTTCCGTATCTGTGAAATTAGAGTATTAAAAGTACATATTCCATAGGACTGTAAAATGAAAGAGTGTGGGGCTGGTTTAAGAATAATGAAAGTCTGGTTTCTAAACTCAACTACCTGGTTTTGCAGTCAGTTTTAAATTGGGGGCAATAATAGAACCTACTTCTTGGAACTATTTTTAGTATAAAATAAATTAATTTTTGTAATCCTCTTAGGACAAGGCCTGGCTTACAGTAAGAGCCATTTAAATGGTTGAAACATGTAAATACTTAGGATAGCATCTGGTATATAGTAAAATATAAATAAATGATAAGTTTTGATCAACTAATCTCTACCAAAAGGAAATTAGCATTTTTAATTGTTCTGATGCAGTTTATGTCTATTGGCATTTTTGTGTTAGTCCTCAGTTACATAGACATCTTGCATCTAGAAATACGCATTTGCCCAAATAACAGCACAGCTTATTCTGCAAAAAAAAAGAAGAAAAGGGGAGGATGAGGCTTGGGAAGACTATTCCTGCAGGCTCATGAAGTAACCTGGCACCCTGGGCCCTGTCCTAGGGCCAGTAGTAGAGGCAATGAAGGAACTAAGTTAAGCCATTACAGGATTTAGGAACCTTATTATATGTTTTTTAAAGATTTATTTATTTATGCATACAGAAGGTACAGGCGAGAGGTGCAGGCGCGGTGAGAGGATTCATCAGAGACAGTGAGGAGTAGAACTGATGAAGTACACTGCTGAGGGGAGCAGCAGGTGGGTCAGGAGGGGTCTGTCACGCCATGTGGGTCACCTCCGGAAAGGGGATCCAACTCATGCTGAAGTGGCTTTAGCTTCTCAGTGCTGTGCTTTAACCCTCTGTGCCACCTGGGAGGGCCCCTGCCTTATTATAATTTTTAAAGGAATGAGAAAGTGTTTAAGACTTTAAGTTCAGAACTATACTTTTGGAGACTCACATAGAGACTAGAAATTTCCGTTGAGTGAAAGATGCTGGATGGTCTACTGAGCCTGATTCAGAGAATTACAAAATGTGCCCTAATCTTTGGTACACCATTCCTTCCTTCCTTGGGAACTACTCCCAGCTTAAAAATGCTTTTCTGCACTTTATTTGGCCCTAACTTCTAATATTCACTTCGTTTATTTCAGCTTCTTCCATAGTTTAGTCAGAATGGTGCAAGCTCTGGTATCTAGATTCACATTTCCACCTTTCTCTGTAGTTGCTATGCGACCTTCTATACCTCGATTTCCTCTTAGAGTTGTTATGCAGTGTCA